GCGGGGCCGGGCGGGGCCGGCCGGGCGCGGGGCAGGGCCGCGGGTCAGGCCCGGTGACCTCCGCCGCTTCCCGCAGCGCTCGCCTGGTTCTCGCGGCCCGCTGCATCGGAGGAGCAGCAGGGAGAGGGCGGGGCCGCCGCCGAAGACGCGGCGAATGCAGCGGAGGCCGAGATTATCCAGCTGTTAAAGCGAGCCAAGGTGAGGAGGGCGCTGCGGGGAACCGGGGCGCGTTCGGTCCTCTGGCCGACCGGAAACTGTAAGGGTAAAATTGGCCTGAATTAGACAGGTTACTGGAGGAAGAAGGTTGGGATCCATTTCAGGCTGGAGGTCGCGAATCCTGCAGCAAAACCGCTGTATTCTGGGGTGCAGGTAGCATCATGACATTTCTCTTTGTCTAGACGCACTGAGGATATTTGCAGTGGTGGTTTTTATCAGCTAGCCAGCCGAGCTGAACTGGCATTTTGCAGTGTGTATGTATGATTTCCTGAAAATGCAATTTATTGTTTATACAACTCGATTCTCATCTATATCCACCCATTTCTCCACATCCTTCTTTATTTTCTTTCCTCTCCAGGTTTATTTCATGTCTTCCACTGGGTTCAATATCGACTTAATGCCAACAGCGTCCACATTTGTATTCACAGACCACAGTGTGCCAGTGACATGCTGTCTCCATTGTGAGGCCCCAGCTACCTCTCAAAGTTAACAGGCTTTGAACTAAGCACCTGCTCTTAAATACCTCCCCAAAATTGCTGGGGATGTATGACATTTACATATCTTACCATTACTCTCTTTTTAAGAAAATTATTTTTAATGTGTATGAATGCATTACCTGCATGTGTGTAAGTTCACCCGTGCCATGTAATGCCCATGGAGGTGGGAAGAAGGCATTGAACCCCAGTCCTCTGACAGAGCAGCCAGTGCTCTGAGCCCCTGGGCCATCTCTCCAGCCCCTCTCCCTTTTTTTTTTTAAGAGAGTAAGTACAAAGTGTAAAGAACAGAGATCTAAGATTTCACAATCTAGTTCAATCCTTCACCATCTCTGCTTACTACTATCATTTTCTCAGCTTGAAAACCTTATATTAATAATTCTTAAAGCTCATGGTACCCCTTTGAAGATTCCCAGCACACAACAGTAGCTCCAGTTGCTACCAGATCTAAAACATTTCTCACATCTTCCCTTTTTGTCTTTTTGAGATAGGGTCTCCCTGTAGCCCCAGCTGCAAGCCCCATCTGCTTCATCTCTAGCTGCAAGAGAGGCTGGTCTGACACCTCTGTAGGCATAATGCCTGGTACATAGTAAGGATTCAGTAAATACCTGATGAAACAATAACTCTTGTGTATTGTTTTGTATCTACTTCTGTCAAGTAGCACATGCATCTATTTTCCTTACATTTTATTTAATACTATTTTCTTGTCTTCTCTTTTTAGTTGAGCATAATGAAAGATGAGCCAGAAGAGGCTGAGCTAATCTTGCATGATGCTCTTCGCCTTGCATATCAGAGTGATAACAAGAAGGCCATCACTTACACATATGATTTGGTAACTCTTCTAACCAATTTGAGCTATTGATGAGGAAAGATGAATGTTGAGAAAGTGTTCTCCTTCCTAATTTATATTCTGAACTTCAAGATGTCCTAAAGGTTTTCTTTTGGTTTTAATTTTTGTACCCTAGACAGGCTCACTTATAATCCCATGCCCCAAAGAAACAAGTGTGATAGTATTTGTTTCTTTAATGATGAGCAGACTTAGATTTAATTTGCTTTCAACAGAATACATACAATAAATTGTTTACTTTCATTGTTGTAGTGTGCTTCTAACAGATCATCTGGTAACATACTTTCTTCTCTACTTTGAACCATTTTTTAAAAAATTTTTGGTCTTTTTGAGACAGGGTCTCCCTGTAGCTGGCCTGGAACTCACTTTGTAGACCAGGCTGGCCTTGAACTCAAAGATCCACCTGCCTCTGCCTCTGCCTCCACCTCCCAAGTGCCACCACACCTGGCCTTGGAACTATTTTTTTTCTAAGAGTGTAAAAGCGGAAAGGAATCTTTCATGTAAAGGTTTTTTAATTAGTATGAATGCAGTGCCCTAAACTGAACGACTATTTGTAATTTGCTTTCAGATGGCCAACTTAGCATTTATACGAGGTCAGCTTGAAAATGTAAGTAATTCACTTTGTAATGTCTTAAACTTGTAAAGCCTCAAGGGAATTACATAGTTAGGGTACATGCTAAGTTATGTTACCACAAAAAGACCCAAAAATACAGTGATTAAAGATAAAGGTGTCTTTCTCTTTAGATTAACTCAGAGGTAGCCTACAAACTGAAACTAGGTTAGGCATCTACTGTGTGGTTCATGTTCATTCTTCATCTTTGTGAATGATCTGACTCACCTCCACCCTGTAGGAAGGGAGAAAGAGAAAATGGAAAGCAAGTTGTGTCCTTATAAAATATGTTTTAAAAAGTATGTTCACACACTTTACTGTAAGGAAGGCTAATCCAGAAATTGAGCAGAATTTTAAAAGTAAACTGATAGGCACAAATATTAGGGGACAATTTGCAGTCTGCCACATTGGTTCAGATTGGTTAATCTTTGAAGTTGGTTTACATTCATCGCAGTATTTTAAGGTACACAAATGGTGTCAGGTCCTGATATTTATTTTGGTGTGTTCTCCCTTCACAGGAGTCTTAGTGGTCCCCCTACCCACTCTGTGTGTGTGTGTTTAAATGTGAATAATGTGTCCAGTTGGTACTTAGAATCAAAGGTCATGTATAGATGCTTAAAAAAAAAATCTTTTCCTTATGGTTTTAGGCAGAGCAACTTTTTAAAGCAGCAATGAGTTACCTTCTTGGAGGAGGCATGAAGCAGGTAAGGACATTGCCTAATATTGGCCCCTCATTGAAGAAGTTTATAAAATAGTTTTGCTTCCCGAAAATTCCTCCAGCCTGCTGTGTTGAGTGTGGCACATGTTCAGAGAATCCTGTAAGGGGGATGGTACAACATGAAGGGAAGACACAACACTTAATTAGAATCTCAAGAGTGGGGAACCAGGAGGCTCAGTGTGGAGGGAACTCAGGCCCAAGCTCCCGTTCCACTGTGTACTTATTGCTTTAATCTGTGTAAGCATCACAAACAACGTGACTTTTACTCAGCACAGTCATTCTTGAGAAAATGTCCTCAAGCCTTCTAGGTATGTTATTTTGAAGCAAAGAATTTGTTTACTACAGTGAAGACTAACTAAGCATAACAGGGCATTGTGACCAGTGGTCAGTGTTATTTCCTATATCATTTGGGGTGGGGGCCCTACATTCCTTTGTCTGCCTCAGCACACATGCCTATGCACCTTTTACCACATAGTTATTCTTGACTGGAGGGGCTGTTGCACATGGTCAAACATGCTTTCAGCATAGTTAGGTAAAGCAGTGTCTCCAACATGAGTTCAAATAAATCAATGGTCTCCAACACCTCCCCCAGCACCACTAAGTGCTTTGACCAAATATGATGGCTATGTCAGCCTTAGGCCTGCATAAAAATGGCTAGTATCTCACTAATTCAAACTAATATTTGCCAAAGAATTCACTTGATTAATTTCTTCAAGAGAAGAAAAACTTTGGCAGGCCAAAGTCAGTATAGAAGTTGGAAAATAGTCCCTGAGAAGCTTCCTTGTCATGAATTTCCTTCATTTCTTTGTACCAACAGGAAGACAATGCAATAATTGAAATCTCCCTGAAGCTGGCCAGTATCTATGCTGCTCAGAATAAGTAAGTGTGGTCAGAATCAAGGTGTGGCAGTGGGCAGGGACTAGATGGTGAAAACTTAGACCCTGGGGTATTATGTACCCTTCATTTACCTGTCAATCATTTGGAGCTCCAAAAATTGGGTCTTGGGCTGGAGAGATGGCTCAGCGGTTAAGAGCACTGACTGCTCTTGCAGAGGACCCGGGTTCGATTCCCAGCACCCACATGGAGGCTGCAAACCATCCTTAACTCCAGTTCCAGGGGAATCCGAATCCCTCTTCTGACCTCCGTGGCACTGAACGACAGGGGTGCACTCACATGCAGGCAATACACTCATACATGCAAAATTTAAACAAAAAAATGGGTCGGTCTCCCCCCCCCCCCAAAGGGCCCCGGAAACTACCTTGGGCACCAGGCCGCCCCCCCCCCCCCCCAAGCTGGCCTGGAACTCACTATGGACACCAGGCTGACCTCCACCTCACAGAGATTAGCCTGCCTCTGCTTCCCAAATGCTGGGATTGTGCCACCACACCCAGCTAAGTGTTCTAGTCTTCATTTTTGCAGTTTTCTGGCCTTTTCAGTTTCCCCCCTTTTGCTTCCATTTACCTGAATGGAGCAGACAGCACTCACTGCTGTGGCTGCCTTGTGAGAAAGCTAAGTTTTCTGTGCTTGTTTGAAATAAGAAAGGGGATTAGAGTTAGAACTATAGTTTAGCTCTTAGAAGCAAAGGGACCAGTGGGAGAGCACCTAATGATAATATACTCTCTGAAGAAGCCATTTTGCTGATATAAGCAATGGCAAAAGAGGACATTAGATATAAAGTTAGATGGTGAGAGTTGTTGTGGCTCAGCATTTCTGGAAAGTAAGTGGCTGTAAGAGGACTCAGATGTTTTGTTTAGATGTCTTTTAGCACATGTAGAAATTATTGTAGCTAGGGTTTTGGAAGGTAAAATAGCCAGTAGTTTAGAGAAGTCTGGATAAATCAAGAATTAGGAGTTAGTTTTAAAAGAGTAGCTAGGTCTACATTTTTATAAAGAAAGTCTGTCAGCTAGTGGGAAGATTTTAGGAAACAATTTAGATACATCCACAGATGAGGCCTTAAGGGCCTTTCATTCCTGTTGGTCTCTGGGTAGAATTCAAAGATGAAGCACAAGCATGTTAGATGTAAACAGGGAACTGTTCTAGAGAGCTATATTTTGGGAGTGAGTTTAGGTGGAGAAGTAGACTAGTTTTCTTTAGATTTTTAGCTGCTGCAGAAGTTTGTGCCAGATGTTTAATGTGACATCAAGCTGGATGCTGTTCAAAAATTTGCTTATTGAGGCTAGAGGCCCTGACCCCGGCCTCTATTCCTTTAGTCTTTGATTTTCATTAGGACCTGCTTAGTTTTCTTGCATTTTGATTGAGCACTAGATAGTCTTCAAGTCTTTTTTTTTTTTTTTTTTTTTTTGTCTTTTTGAGACAGGGTCTCCCTATAGTCACAGCGGGCCTGGAACTCGCAGAGATCTGCTTGCCTCTGTCTCCGAAGTGCTGGGATTAAAAGCTTATTTTGTTTTTTCTTGAGATGGGAGCCTAGGCTAGCCTGGAGCTCAAGAGTGTGTCTCCTACTTCAGCTCCTTGAGTGTTGGCTTTTGACTTAAATCTTGAGGAGCTTCAAGTTTGGCTGATGCCAGAGAACATTGTAACTGGGGCCAGTTTTCCTTTAGAAGGTTATCATAAGGGACTGTGTCCTAGTTTGTTTCTTCATTGCTGTGACAAAACACTCTGACCACTACCAACTTGGGGAGGAAAGGGTTTATTTATCTTACATCTCCCAGGTCACAGTTCATCAAGGAGCCCAAGGAATTCAGGGCAGGAACCTGGAGGCAGGAGCTGGAGCACAGGCCATGGAGGAATGCTGCTTACTGGCTTGCTCCCTGACCCCTGCTCAGCCTGCTTTCTTATGCAACACAAGCCCACCTGCCCAGGGGAGGCACTACCCACAGTGGGCTGGGCCCTCCCGCATCACTCGGCAATCAGGAAGATGCCTCACAGACATGGCCACATGCCAGTCCTGTGGAGGAAAGTCCCCAATTGAGGTTCCCTCAACCCAGGTGTGTCAAGTTGACACTAAAGCTATCCAGCAGAGACTAGATGTTGATGATGTCTGAATTCCCCAGATAGGTGGAAGCGCTGAGCAAATAAATACTGACAAGACAAGCTGATGTCTCACAGAGGTGATAGTTTTATACTATCTATTAATAATTAGTACATAAGTTACTCTGTACTTTTCTCATGTTGCTTTATTAAGGGAAGCATGAAATAGGAAAACACCTCAGGTCCTGAGGCTTAGAGATGCTGAAGATAAAGCTCAGTAATGGAGTGCTTGCTTAGAATGTGAGATGCTATGGGTTCTGGGGGAAGGCTGACGTGAGATGGGAAGGAGTTGTTCCTAGACCTCTTGTTCTGACTGCTCCCTTTGCTGTTTCCTCACTGGAGAGGCTCTCTCTTGCCAAGGTTTGGAACTGGGGAAGGAAAAGGATGCTTTGTTCTGAAAATAGAGTAGACCAGAGGGGTCACCACATCTCTCCTAGGAAAGCACTAGAGGAGGAGACTTTATAGGGTCACTTATGGTGAAACAGGAGAACCAACATGGAGGAACAAAGGCCAAGTTAAAGAAGCAATTTCTGCATCTCTTTATAGATGCTAGTCACATTAGTCTGGCTGATTGGGTGTCTTCTCAGGTTGCATGAGGGTCTAAGGCTATAATGTCAAGCTAAATGCCTTCTCATACTATAGCTAGTAGTTTGATTTCTATAAAAGAAACTTTTTATCAAAGACCTATAGCTTGGGCAAAGATTCCTAGATGTGCCTGAGGGCAACAATTGGGATCCACAGTGCTGGGGATTGAGCCTTGCTCAGTTTAGATGATGCTTTGACCAGGGGTGAAGCCTTACCATGTGGAAAAGCAGACTTTAAACTCTGTAGAGGTAGATAATGAAAGACTGCTCGTTATGTCAGTAGTGGAAATGTTGGTAGCATTCCTAAGTTTTCTAAAAAAAAAAATTATTTATTGTGTATGAATGTTTTGTCTGCATGTATTTAGGTGCACCTGTGCATGCAATGCCTATGGAGGCTAGAAAAGGGCATCGTGTTCCCTGGAATCATGGATGCTTGTTAGCCTCCATGTGGTTGCTGGGAACTGAACCCAGCTCTTAACCACTCAGCCATCTCTCCTGCCACATTCCTAGGCTTTTTTTTTTTTTTAATGTGTATAAGTGTTATGTTTGCATGCATGTAAGTGCACCCGTGTTGTGCAGTGCCTGCAGAGAACAAAAGATGGCATTGAATCCACTGGAACTGGAGTTACAGACAGTTGTTAGCCACCATGTGGATGCTGGGATTTGAACCTTGGTCTCCTGCAAGAACAGCCAGTGCTCTTATCTGCTGAACTATCTTTCCAGCCCTACTTTTTATATCTTAATTTACCTTAATTAGATGACTTTAAAACAAAACTTCAGAGAAATGGTAGGTTGATGGTCCGGAGATACAGCAAAATCTTACTTTTACTGATGATGTTCAAACCAGAGCTGGAAAGATAAAGGTAAAAGATGAGTTTGAGAAAAGGTAAACATGGCTGATTATTGATATTTGTTTCCAGACAGGAATTTGCCCTCGCTGGCTATGAATTCTGCATTTCAACTCTAGAGGAAAAAATTGAAAGAGAAAAGGAATTAGCAGAAGATATTATGTCAGGTAGGAAATTCAATTCCTCTAGACGTTGGATTTTCTCCACAAAAATTTTCATTGCTGCACTTCAGAAAGGGAAAGAAAGATACTACATTGGAGGACAGAAAGCTGTCAATTATGGAAAATAAGGTGGCTATTGTAATGTAGAGTTTGAAATGGATGTTTTGTTTAAATGACTTGACCCCTGTTGTAGATTTTTTAAAAAAAAGCTCCATAGATGACAAGTTCATGATTTCTCTGTTACGTTTTAGTTGCATACACTCTTTGGGTAATTTGTAAGCACAAACAGAAGCTTGCTCTCTTCTTTCTGTTCAATACTAGTAAAAATAGAGCTCAGAGAGATAAGACAAGTACTAAGTAATTACCTTTTAATTCTAGATATGTATCAGGTTAAGGATGAAGATGAAGTTCATGTTTGTGTAGTTTATCCTCATGAAGGCTAGGAATGGGATGATCAGGAAGCTTCTGAGCTCTTATTTTTCTCTTCCTTCCCCCCTTCCCCTTCCCCTTCCCTCTTCCCCTTCCCACTTCCCCTTCCCTCTTCCCCCTTCCCCTTCCCTCTTCCCTCTTCCCACTTCCCCTTCCCTCTTCCCCCTTCCCCTTCC